ACCCTGCATTTGGTTCTGCGTCTGCGTGGAGGGCAGTAAATCAAGACTTGCATGGAACATCTGTAACTTCATTGTTCAGTGATTAATGTTTTAGTAGTGCCACTTCTGCAGCTTCAGAACACTAGGACGCTTCGGGAAAAACTGATTATAAACAATCATGAACTCAGAACTTGGTTCTCAGTTCCCCTCCAAATAAGTGACTTTTCACACATCATAGGGGTTTAGGTTTAAAAAAAAAAAGTACAGTCAAACTTTGTTAATAAGAGGTCCATGGGACTCGGCAAATTACCTTGTTACAACAGGAACCTTGTGTTACCAGGAGTGAAAACAATGAAAAAAAAAGGATTGGGAGCTAAAGATTACCTTGTTAGCTGAATCTTGTATTAACATTGCTCATATTAAGGAGGTACTACTGCACATATATACTACTAAAAGCTGCTTGTGACCAGGTTCCATTTCCTTAATTAAAAATGAAACTACAGTTCTAAAGATGATAAAAATTTGAAATGAAAAGCAAAAATTCATCATTGCCTTCACTTTTTTCGGGGGTGGGTCATTCTGTAAATTTGGGGTCCCAAAGTTCAGAATTTTTGTCACTTGCGCCAGACGTTTAATTTGAAATGGAAATACGTGTATCATTGAAATCGAATTCAAAACGTTCTTTTTTCTCATGTTGAACGATGTAAGAACTCTTGGAAACTTGAGTATGTTTTTAAAACCGGAAAATCATGTCATTTTATAACAGGGACGCACACCAAAAAAATCTGAACCCTGCTTAATAGAATGACCCAGTGATGCATTTAAGCCTATGGAGTACAGATTGCTTGAACTTTGAACAGTCTGTACATAAGTATACATGTGTTTGTAATGAGATGTATCCAGATCAGTCTGTCAAAATAACTTGAAAAGATTGGAGCATTTCTTTGCAGAACCTTCACATTAGTTGGATCTTGGAGTTTTCAATACACATGTGTACACGTATATGGAAGGCCCTAGCCCTTGAGTAATACAAGTAGTATTGACATTGGAAACAAGAATCCCATCTTGTACGTTTTCAACTCACAGAAAGCTTGTAGGAAAAGTACACTTTGTTGAGATATACATATGAAAAGATGGTAATTGGGAAAGTGCATTAAATTTAAAAGCATTGTCATTCTGTTTTGGTATTTCCTTTTCTTTAGATATAAGACTTTTAAAGAATTGGTCAAGAAAAATCTGTACATCTTGTGCGATACATGTATATACACGATCGATCAACTTTATCGAAATTTGGCATGATGCATTACTTCCTGCATAGTTTCAACAAAGTTCGGTTTTTTTGGGGGGGTGGTCGTTGAAACGTTGATACCAGTGGAACGACTCGTCCTCTCATGGACATTCCAAATTTCTGATTGTTTTCATCTCCCTGTGTTCGCAATTTGCAGCCATGATGTATGTACATGTACGTACGGTGACAGGCTATAACGTTGGCTTGGAAATCCGCAAAACATCCCACCTTCCTAACCGAAGAGGGGTAACTGAATAGCTCTTGTGTTCTGCAGGTGAAGATGGACTTCCAGCAAACTTGCATGCTTCATGTTGACCCTCCCCAACCTTGTTTTCTTTAATAGAGTGGTACCTGTGTCTGGAGCGCTGAATGTTTATCCTGTAGAAACCAGTGAAACACCTAAGAGAGGATACTGTAGATACATGCCATCATAACACGGTTCTTACAAATACATGAATAATCATAACGTCTGTGGAACGTGACCTGATGGCATCAATGGTTAGAGAAGGGCTAGTGTAGCACCGTGCCTTATGGTGGCTTAGGCCTGCCCCTTGTCATTTTTTGGTTGTTAATTATCCAATCGCACTCGTTTTGCTTGCATCGGGGCATTTTGGAATTTTGCAGAGTTCACATAAATTACAAAAAGTAGGTTTTCGTGATCCGTCATTAACTGACGAGTACTGTTGCCAGGTTTGGAGTTGATGTGTTGCGCCTACTGCCACTCCAACTTAAGCCAATGCTTGTTCAGGTAGGTGCATTTTTCTTAAGAGGGGGTCTGATTGATAGTACATGTATGTACTCGATCTTGCTGAAAATATTCCTGGGAAATGAAATAACCACAGTAGTACATGGGGGAGGGTTGACTTCAACCAGGGAATAAACCATTTTCGAGTTTAACTTGAAAATCTGATTCAGTTAGTTGATTGCAGTTAAGACATGTAATTCCAGTTGCTCAGACTAGACACTGTTGCCACACCTTGTGGTGTTTGGGGCAAGCTTTTGCAAAGGGGCTACCATCTCGGCAATAACGACTTGGAAGTTATGTATTGGTGAGAGATCTTCTCATGTAACTTGATGCAAGCTGCCCCAAATGAAGAGGTATAGCAACAGTGTCGTTCATAGCTCGGAAGTTCCAAGGGGGAGGGGATGGGGTGCAGCTGAACAGGTATAGCACTGGGGAGTTAGATGGCCATGTGTACAGAAAGCACCAAACCTTGTATTAATTTAAAGAGTACTTTTCAAGCTTTTGTTACACTTTCCCTTATTCAGCACTCTTTTGAGTACAGCTTGGTTGTAAAGAGGTTCAAAAATTCCTCAAAGTGAAATTTCCCCCTCCACTAAAAATTAAGAGAGGATGATCTAGTAGCCCATGCCCTGGGCAAAGGGGGTTAGGGTGATATACCCCCATCCCTAGGATTTACGCCCCTGAAAAAACAAGCACATGATATTGGTTGCATCCCAAATATGGATACTTGTACATTGTTCAAAGGTGAAAAAATCATGTTAACTTGGTCATTTTGAAACTTGTTCGTTAGACCTTTTCATTGCTTGAATTCCTGATAAGATTCCTGTAATTTGCAAAGTCTGCAAAAACAAGAGCATTAATAGTGCTCTTATTTAAAACGTTTGACTGTAATTCCCACAAAATGTTTGAGGTATGAAGTAACTACAAATCACATTTGCTGATGAGCAACTACTTGCATTCTTGTGTTAATAAATATCAGGAAGGTGGCGTAACATGAAAATATGCATGTTGTTTGTTGCAAGCATGTGCAGGATTTAAATCCATTTTTGATGCAGAGTAAGCTGAAAGTTGGCAATATTTTCAGGTTTGTGCAAGTGGCTGAAATTAAAATTGGATATTTTGGCAAAATAGAATGCTTCTACAGAAATGTTCAGATGTGTAGAGGACTTGGTATTTTGAGTGATTTTTAAAATAAAATGATACTTTTCACCTGGGGAGGGGGGAAGACTGGGTGTCTTGTACTGTCAAAGTAAACACTTTGAAGTGCATGCAGCTGCGTGAAGCACATACACTACATTTGAATGCATACTTTTTAAAATGCAGACGGTATACACAGGATGTAATATGAAGGTTGCTTTTATTCACTTCATTCTTTACAAAATGATTTGTTACCAGACAAACATTAGTACTACATTAATGTACACACACATTTTATTCTTTAGTGGAAAAAGAACAAATCTAGTTTTCTCCTTTTCTTGGCAACAGCACGTTGCTTCTGTTTTTGGACCCAATCATTTGGTAACATAGCGGTGTCATCATAAAAATGATTACTTTGCCCAGTACATTTGGAATATTTCTTCAGACAAACCAACTTGATTTGGTTCACTTCATGAGCACATGCTGATGTTGTAATAATAGAATTACGCAACAAGCCTTGCTCAAAAGGCTCATGGCACATTTCATAATTTCTGAACTTGTATCCAAAAACATGCAAGTTCAAATGGTCCTTGAATGACCTTTTTGACGACAAAATGCAACCAAATTCAGACCCTATCTTATCTTTTTGGCTCTGGATATTGTGACCACCTTACACATGAAGCCACATTGTCAGATATGCAAATAGCTTACCCCCTCCCTATTATCTAAGGATGCTAAGAGCATGGGTTTTGCCACTTAAGCAATTACATGTAGTAAGCACTAACAGGCCATCAGCCATATGCTTACCACTTGCATGTTGCACCAAGTAGTGTTTCTGCCTATCACCATTTTATCAAAATTAGACCCTATGGGCTCCAGCCAAGGCTTTATCAAACTTGAACTGTACGTGCTTTTGTGAATTGTTAATGTACACGGAAATGCCGAATCCCTGAATATAGAGGGGTGAACAGTAAGGACTGTGCTGGATGATTCAATAAAAAACGTAACAGTGCAGCATTTTGTGTTGAAAGAATTCTAGAAGTGGCTTCTTGAATCAAAGAACACCAGTTTTACCATCAAATGTAACACTTTTTTACTATCTGGTTATACAAAATTTTGCGTTTTACTGTTTTCTCCATATTATTCTGTACTTTTATACAAGTCCTTTTCTTTAAACTGCTCAAGCTGGTAAAGCACGGCAACTCAGTGGTAACAAGAGAATCTGCATGTCAGTAAACAAGCAAAAAGATTTCAATGGAAAGTTTAGCCTGAACTTTTTGCTGAAAGGCTCCTGTTACCCCAGGCTTTTACTCACTTGAAACACTACATTTTAACTGTATTGGAGTCTAAGCGGATGTCTTTTTAATAACAGTACTTTCCAATGAATACCATCACTAAAAAGAATCTGCAGTTCCTCTGAATTGGAAACTTCTGCTACATTTTACTCGAAGTGGCAGTGCCTACACTGGATTAAGTATATAAATTTTCTCAGTATAAAAAGCTATTATTAGTTTTTAAAAATAACTAAAAAAGTTCTCTCAGTGAAATCATGTCAAAACTACACATACTTTATGCAAGGATACTCACAAGATATGGGATACCCTGTAAAAAACAGTATTATTAAAAAGAAGCAATACAAAAATCTAAATAATGACTGCTTTAAGGTTTTAGCTTATGTACAAATATTCAAAATACTGTTGTCCAATTATGACAATAGCATTTCAAAAAGCTGGTTTCAGGTGAATATAAATATTTCTAAACTACAGTATGATGTTAATGCATACACATATTCTACAATGGAGATACAAGAAATGTTATGGACTACATGTACTTGTAAAACTAATATAAAAGCATGGTGGAAACAAAGAACGAGTCCCTTATTTTAGAAGTCAAATCCATGAAGTTAGCCACACTAAGAACGGGAGAGGAGCAGGAAACTATACAGCACATCTGTTAAATAGCACCAGAAAGTCACAAGATCATACATGGCTGCATGTGTCAGGACTTCATTCCGAATCTGTGACAATGTGCACTTCAATTTCAAACATCACTGGCTCTTCTAGCTCCTTGGGCAGTGCTTCAGCCATCTCCTCATTTGTGGGCTTCAAGATGCCTTCCACCTCCAGCTTGAAGATAGCGTGCTCTTTCACGGTTTTGTGCAGGCGGATCAGGGCTACGCCTTCCTTTTTGTCCTGGATGATGAAGAAGTCGTCCTCATTGCCACTGACCAGCTTGTACTGCATGGCGCCAATATCCTTGGAGTAGCCCGTCACAAACTTGGCCACACGGAACCGCCTGCGTGCCTTCTCTATGGGAATGTTGAGGTAGACAACCTTGCCAGGCTTTGCATGGACACCTTGGAAGTTCTCAGCTGTCTCGGTGCTGTTGGTCAGGCCTTCAGCTGTGTTATTGGTAGGTGTCTCCTCAACTACAGTGACATTATGATCCTCTTCTGGCTGAGGGACTTCATTCAGGGCAGTGTCCACATTTCGTCGCTTGCGGCCGTTGTTCAGCTGACAGTGGTAGCATGGCTTCTGTGCCCCACCTGTCGTTTGGCCAGCTTGATGGCCACTGGGCTGGCCATAGGGTGTCTGGCCACCATATTGGCTACCGTACTGGCCACCATACCCTGGTTGGCCTCCATATTGTGTCTGACTGTATCGCTGTTGTCCAACCTGGCCATAGTGTGTCTGACCGTAAGGTGTCTGTTGACTTTGACCATACTGGCCATACTGACCAGAATAAGAACCTCCCTGTCCATACGTAGACACACAAGCTCTGAAGGAAGAGCACAAAGAAGATGATATTACTGAGTTGAACATTGACTTGTTCTTGGATAACCCTAGCTCCATTGGCAGTTCTGCAAAGAACCTTCCCCAAATTCTATAGTTTCTCACTATGCTTCCAACAGGCATCAAGCCCCATGAAGTGACAGTAAGTTGAATCAGTCCTGTTGCCAGCTTCTGGCACCAGGGGGGCCACAGTACCAGCTTGGGGGGGGGGGCACTGCTCACCAGGGGAACCTTGGTCCCTCCAGAACCCCCCCCCATCGGGCCTGAGTTGGATCTACATTCCTCAATCCTCCAAATCCTCAATAGCAACCTGACCGATTTTGAGGCATTTGGGCAGGTCAGGGTTACAAACTTGACCGAAGTAGATTACCCCTCCAAATAACAAGGGTTTCAAGCCTTTGTGGAGTTATGTACCCTTAAGGCCTTTGCACATGAGTGCTGAAACCGCACATCTGCCACAGTCAGTGCCACAGTGTCTGCATCTTACGATGTGAGATTTTTTTGCAGGCTTTCACACAGTGCAATGTTTATCACGTAGCTGACATTCCTCATTTCGCCACAATTTGCAGTAGCGGTCAAAGGTTAAATTGCATCGCTGGTACTTAGCTATGTTTTAAATGTTAGAATCATGTGGTACCTGCGATTTTCCCACCATGCATTTGTAGGCAATGCGTTCTTTGCAGAATTTGATAGTTCTTGTAGTTTACTGCGTGTCTGTTCTTTTCTGCTAGCCTGCATGCTAGATATAGTAGCCCGATCGGAAGAAAGACGCAAAGACCTTCCATTTTGCAACATCACAATTTGGAGTAGCCAAAGGAGTATATCTGTGTGGAGAGCCGCCATTTTTGAAGATGTCAATAAATGAATGTGCATGCGTAATGAGATTCAACTCAAAGGACCCTCGCGACAATCGCTTGCTCTGCATTCACACAGCCGATTATGGTGATCATTACACAGATTTGGAGCAAGTCTCAATCGCCACAACGATCGCTCAGGACCTGTGCTATAACCGTACAATTTGCTGACAGAGGTTGACCCTCACACGACGCGATATCACTGCAATTGTAACATTGATTTAATCTGTAATCGGCACTCATATGAAAGGCCTTTAGGGGTAACAATTGCAACACTCCTTTAAGGATTCCTCTCACACAAATATTACATTCAGTTAAACCCATATGAGCACATGCTAGCTAGTCTCTGATGACTCAATAAATAACAGTACAATGTTTACATCTTGAAAATT